GTGTGTGATGAGCCTGAAGTGGTGCCGGGCCTTCTTCTTGTTCGAGAGGCAAAGCGTTCATCTTCATCTCAATGACTCGGTTCTTGGGTGAGGTCATGACGGCTGGACTTCGGTGCCGAGACCCAGAACAGCGTAGGGTGTGCGCCGTCGCTTTCTCACGAAATTCAGGAGCTCACGATGCTGGTGTTGAAGTTGCGGCTGAGCTTAGCTGAGGACATGCCGCATCCGAGCCCTCATTGGTGGCAGCAAGAGATGTTCGATGCGAGCTGCGGTCTTGACACCTTCTACTTTGGTCGCACCAATGACAACAAGACAGCCACAAGCATTTTCTCTCCACAATCTAGTAGATCAGGAGATATCAGAAAAAGCAATCCAATATCTGCGACGCACTACGCATCACACACGACGATGCAGCCTTCATGGGTATCTCCATAACTCTTGCCGTATTCCTCGCACTGGCTGCCGACGAGAGTTGCCGCCGCTATGTGCGCTCGATCTGGGGCACTACCACTATCGGTTCGTGGCTTGGGCGTCCCACGCTTGGTCGACGGTGATAGTACACGTGCAAGTTGCGCAGTTTAGCCGGTAGAACAAAGTCGCCCTGGCGCTATGTTCCAGCTACAGGTACCAGCCGTGTTGCTCGGCCTGGCGGCAAAGGCGCGTTCGCAAAGTCGGATCTCTGCTAGGTACCCTTGACCCAAGGGATGCCGAATGAGAAGGTCTAGACATCTAGCCTTGCTGGTATTCTCGTCGCAACCCTTAACAGAGCAGGATGTTCCCTTGATCTCGGATATAACGATAATAGCGATATGAGCGACAAAGTGGATGCAGACTGGGAAGCCTTTCTGGTCTTGGCATAGACTGCAAGTCTCATTTCGGTTGCGAGACGGGCGCGAAGATCATGATGGCCGCGGAATCAGGAGCGGGCCCTCTTTCCAGCGTGGAAGCTCCTTGTGAGGGATTGAGTAGGAGAACCTCAGAACATGCTATTTGTGTACTGCATTATTTCAAAGCCATCACCATCATAAGTCTGAAGCGTTTCTTGACAGAACGGTACTTCAGCGCTACCCCGTGGCTTCTAGGTGACATTGCGAGCATCGGCGACGGTAAGAACTCCTGTGAAACGCAAAATATGCTTCGGAGAGTTTTCGACGTGTGCCGCTAGCTGCCTAGACATGTCGCTTTGGTGGCAGTGATGAGTCCAGATGATGCATTACCAGTACACTATGGTTAGTCGCATGGAGGTAGCGTAGCAAACTGCAAGCCCCAGTCGACGGCTCTCATATCACTGTAGCGAATGTGCATGGCGGCGTTGGACTCGTTGCTCAACCAGAGTCGACCAGATTTGCTGTGTTTCAAGAAGGTCCGGTGAAGGCTCTCAAGCGCTATTGGCGGTAGCAAAACGGCCCCGCGATGAAGCATCGGAGATTATCAGCAATGAATGACCTGGCACGCTGGCGACCAAGCAACCGTTCGTGCAGGGGACACTGTCGGCGCAGTTTGCGCTATGTGGCCCGGTTTGCTGCATGGCAGGCCCTCGGTGCCAGGTATTGCGATAGTCAGGAACGCTCGGCTTCTAGTCTATAACCCATTCGTTATATCGACCAGTAGCTGTCTGTATCGCTCGCGCTCCAGATCTCGGCGTCGAAACTTGGAAACTTGATTTCGGCAGAAGCGAGTCGAGGCTGGTGACAAGCCGCAGCTGCAATGGGCTTGGGAACGGAACGCACACCAGCAGGATCTGGATGCGCTCCGTCAAGGGCTAAGATAAAGAACCTTGAGGGGAAGCTATCGCGGGACGCACCTAAAGCCCGACACGGGATTGGCCAGTGCCTGGAATGGGAGCGATACCCAAGACCGTTAGTGTGGTTTGATAGATCGACGTCGTGTCAGCGCCCTGCTCAAGCGAAGTTTCCGACCGACACACGCCCCTTCAGGCGTACTGAGCGTTTGCTTGTCTCGTTCGTACTCCGCCCTCTAGCGATGCAAGGAGAATCAAGAAGAAGAAAAAAAGTTTTTTCCGGGGTAGAGCTGCACGGCAACGACGAACGGGTGTGCTGTCGCATCTGCTATCAAGCCCTCGGTGTCAGGTTGCTGAGGCTGATGCGACTTCTGCCCCTGGATTCGTTCTGAGGTCATGATGTGCTGTCAAAGACCAACATCGTGCTGACCTCGACGACGCCACGTTGCCCGCTTCACGGCTTTGGGATGGCATATACTGGACGGGAGTGTCAGGCCCCTGCAGCAGGCACGGTGGAATTGCCTATCCTGGGACTTGCGCCATCTTCAACGGCGGGGTGTCGTTCCAAGGTTGTCGAAATTAGCCCATCATGGATTGCTCTTAGTGCACTGCTCACCGATATTTGCTTGAGTCTGCCGTACTAACAAACTTCGCAACCCACCATCAGGTACGCTTTTGTACCTGCATCTCGCCTCAAGCCAAGCTAGTCCGGTGTCTATAACCCGCAACGCTCCTCTCTCTCGGTGCGCCGTCGTTGGCTTTTACCGAAGGACCGTTCTTTGTGCTGCCTCGTTTCGTGGCGCTAATAACATACCGTCATTGCCTACTGCGGTTGTGGAGCGAGGGTACACGCATGACCCAGGTCTCCGCTCTCGAGCCCCTCCGCTTCCCGCACTACTTTATCCGCATCGCCCTCCAAGGTTCATATCAGACAGAAGTGGGCTCAAGGTACCTACCATCGTTTCGTCGACCGCCACCTCTCAGGTGTAGCCGCATCAACCGCAGCCACAGCCAGCATGGTCGTGACCTGATCGACATCACTCCTTCATATCTTCTTTTTGGATCTTCCTTCCAATACACCATCACGCCTTCAACAAAGACGATCGCGACAAAGTTTTACCATTAAACGAAAGCAGTCCCATTCAACTCTCACACTCACATACACACCCTCGTTACAACCATGGAGCAAGAAACGAAAGTCTGGATCATCCTTGGTGCCGTCGTAGGCATCCTCGTCCTGACGGCGGTTGCCGTCGCCCTTCTCTTCTGCTGGAAACGATCTCAAAGAAGGATGCGAGGCTTCTCTCTGCGAGCTGTCACACCACTAGACGATGCCGAATTTGAATCGTGGAGACGGCCCAGCCAATACACCCAACGACCGGAGAAGTACGGCATCCGACCAGCTGTCTTACGCGAACATGTATCACCCAGAGCCACTTCCATGTTCGAGAAAGAGCTTAGCACATACGAGTTCCCCCCAAGAACACCATCATTAACCGACATGGCTTCACTAAAGTCACCCACCAGCTCGATACGAAAGCCCGAGCGTGTACGGAGGAAGTCCAGTGTTGCTTCGTCTATTGCCGACCGACCCCCAACACCCTATTCTCCGAACTCTCCAAGCGGTGAATTCAACCGGGGCTCCACCTCTTCACATCGATCCCAGCCTCTAATACATTACCCATCACCATCAGAAACTTCTGCTTTCCGCTTCAACTTCGAATCAGAGTACGGCACTCAACAAAAGGGCGCTGGACGCTGGATATGAACACCAGTGTCACTTCAACATTCCAGCCATCTTCGCACCTCGAACATTACGGCTTGCAGTGATCTCTGTAATACCTGCAGCCTGCCGAAAGCACTCGAAGCGACTGAAACACACCTGACAGCTTCTTGCGTCACCACGCACCGCTTGCTGCTGTACAAGCATCGGGGCTGTCGCGATACCCAGTCAACACTTCACCTTTACGACCTTCGCTTCGCATACATACTTTACGATTGGACATGATTTTGTCATTTGGAGTTCGGCGGCGCTTTGCATCTATGATACCAGACCTTTGAGTCACTACACAGGCCTCGAGCCTCTTTGTTTCTTTTTGTTGGAGGATGAGCCACTCCGTGCCGAAGATCGCACGAGAATGCAATTCAGTAGTATAGCCAACCACATAGTCGGGTCTGCAGTTGTAGCACTGCGAGAGGCTAGTCCTCTGTACCCATATCAATGAACAAACTCATTAGCACATGATCCTTCACTTTTTGCTGCAGTGATCTCCCTCCCATTGCGCAATACGCCCTGCCCTGCAAGACATCACGCACCACGCATCACGACATCAGCCCAAGCGGCAACTCGGCCCCGACCGTTCCCACCCACGACTGCCGACGCCGACCCCTTAGCCGTGCAAACGCCTCATCTGTGCCTGTGCCAAAGGAAAAAAACGTGGTCTACACCGCCAGTTCCAAGACCCCAGAATGTTGCTATACGCGATCTGAAACTCTGCTCGGCCGCCATCTCCACTCCACTCCACTTCGACTATCGAAAAGCGAGCGGGACGCGATTCATGCGCGATCGCGCTTCCCGCGCTCGAAAAGTACACCGCATTATCTGGCTGGGTGAACCCCGCGAGATGGTGAAGGTGGTGATACTGGACTCTTGGGGGCTGAAATGCAAGACGCAGGGTGGTGGAGTAAGGGATCTTCGGTGTCAGTTGCTTTTGCGCACATCATGGGCGGGTTTTGGTAAGGGAGATGCAACTCATCTAAGCGACAAGCTAGATGCCTGCGCGGGTACTATGATAAGAAGCAAGTAACTTGGAGGTCTACATTACTCTTCTGTGGCTCAAATTTTGCATCGTATACTGTTGTCGTCGGCTGAGTCTACAGGCATTTGCTCACTTTCTTCTCGCTGCACAGATATGTGGATGACTAAGCCAAGCGAACCGAGCGGATGACGTGCAGCCAGGATAAGGTGTGTTGAGCTGCACGGCGTGCGTGAAAGCGTTTTAGTGGGTCAACGACTCAACGTGGACAGCTGTCACCGCAAACCGTGTGGGCAAAACAAGCAAATTATCAGCCACACCCCAATAACCCCCATCGCGTGCTCGTTTCTCAAGCCCATAATTCGCGTCGCCCCATTTCATCCACCAGCCACTATCCGCGCGCAGATCAGTCGCAAGCGCGCATCTCGCTATCCGCACCCCACAAACGCGTTCTATCGCGTCTGGCACACGACATCTACACGTCCAATCGCGAATCGCCCAATATGGAGTTTATACAAGGTATGCTTCGCTGATGCGCCTATCGTCATATCACTCTATTGCGACACGGGTTGCTAACACCAGATACCAGACTACGCAGCTCTCCTCCCGCGCCTCCTCCCACCGTCCTTCGCAAACCCCCTCCTCCACCTCCTCACAACCTTCTTCGGCATCTCGCGCACGCTGTCAACGCACCTCTCACCCCTCCTCAACAAACTCATCACCCAACCCGATGTCGCCTCCATCCTCGCGCTGCTGGCCATATTCTTCATCTCGCTCAAGATACTGGACATGATGTACCGGGCCGTCATCTTCTGGGTGAACCTGGCGTTGCGACTGGTGTTCTGGGGCGGGATACTCGTTGTGGGCTTTTGGGTGTACAACAGAGGGCCCGAGGGCTTTGTCGAGGATGTGCAGGGCTTGGGCGAGTACTGGCTGGGTCAGTATGAGGTTTATAGTCAGGAGGTTAAGGGGTTTCAGCAGCAGAAGGAGGATCAGATTAGGATGAAGGCTAGTGCGCAGCAGCAGCAGAAGAGGAAGGGGTGGCGGTGAAGATGGTGTGCAGACAATGGGCGGGGATGTGTGTATGACGGGATGGGAGTTGGATACTTGTCGATATAATGGCTGCAGTTCTGGGTGTCGAACTGCATGACTGGGCGCAAGACTGGTTTTTGCACATATTCTTACGGCGCTCAGGATCTCGAAAAGTATGGGACTGGCTTTGGGATTCATCGGCTTTGTACACAATGTCGGAGTGTTTTGGACTACAACTTGTACATGTTTGAGCTTCACGAATAATGGTATCCATGACAGTACTGAGCTTCCGCCACATCTGCACTGTCTCCACACCGGCAAGACGCCACCGGAGTCTTTGAACTGAGGTAACAGCTGACTATTGTCTCAGAACCCGAGGTCAATCACAGGAAGATTCTGAATTCTTCGCGTGACGGATGGGGTGCTCTAGATTACAGGAGAACAGCGTGGAAAGTTTGATGATTGCTAGGTCTAATCCTTCAAATACCCTCCGGTACCATTGACTAAGACCTCACCAGTACTCATCAGCTACCTGACATGGCACCCCGAAAGAAGAAGCAAAAGGCTCGCCCAGCCCCCTCTGCAGCTGATGACATCGTACCGGACATGACTCTACCAGCGAGCGAGCGTCTACCTAACGAGTTACTACAATTGATCTTCGAATATCTCAGCTTCTATGATCTAATACGCTGCACACAAGTGTCTAGGACGTGGGCTAGGTGTCTACCAGGCGACCACTCCAAACTACGCAAGGCACTGTTCCTACGAGATGATCAGTCGGCAAACACAGAAGGACCTCTGCGTCTCGAATTCAACTTCAGGATCGTTGGTAATGTTGTTAGGCTCGAGGATAATGTTCTACCTATCTTATTATATGGCTTTTTCGAGGAAAAGATCAAATGCGACACTGGCGGATCAACTTGCGTGAATCCAATCATATCGCGCCACGAACACCTGTACCATATCGTTCACTCAGGACACCAGCCTCACAAGCTCGAATCGTTCTTTTTATATGCATTCGATACACTGGAGCGCCTGCGGTCGATTACGACGCGTCTTAAACATATCACCGACTGCGGCACTTGGAGGAAGATGCTAGTCTGCGTTCCTGCTGTGACAAAATTGAACGTCATATTTTCGGTCAGTGGCGTTGGTACGATCAATCAGACCCGCACACTTGAGGACAGACGTGGAGTTCGAATGCAATCTCTGGTTGCTCTCATCAGAGCCTTTCTGCAAGAGGTGGGTGATGTAGTGAAGGCGGACGCACCGAAAGTTCGGGTTGTGGATCGATCTCACGGATACGAGGCTACTAAGTCATATAATCAGGTTGGGCGGGGATAACATGATGCCTATGATGTCAGATCAATTGGAGTTAGAAGTAAAACGGGCGAGTATGAAATGCTTGGTCCACTATAAGGTCGGACAGCACTAGACAAAGGCCAGCGATGTCCATCCCCTCGGCAGAGCAAATATTGTACTAGCAACTCAGAAATGATCTCATGGTCATGTGTTACGTGAAGTCTGCCAAATCAAGTAAGTGAATACATCTCTTCTGTGCTCTACCATGCCTGTCGCTGTAACGACAAGTACCGATATTTCACCGTGTCGATGATATCCAAGATGTTTCTTCATGCATCTGACTCCGATCTCATGGGTTACGATCAATCAATAACTTTCAGTAGTATGACCTGATGATCACGCGGAATTGTTTCACCAGGTATCCTACCGCTCGATCAACGTGACTTAACACGCGGTATAACTTCCGACCCCTGTATTTCAATCCTCTCAACTCTCAACTCTACTGGTCTTTCCCGAGAGATTGCGTTGCCTAAGATGCCATATAGTATGATAGGAGATACAAACGACCTCACCATCAAAGGCAACCTAAGCAGGTCACAAAAGCAACCTAGCATGCCGACAGATGGCGCCAATCATCATCTTCCGAGCGAGATATGGCAGAACATATTCGGCTTCCTAGATCTAGCTGATCGTAAGTTCCCTCCGCGAATCTGCTCTCTCCAATGTATTGTGGGCGCTTGATATTGATACTTACCACTGACTCTGGATACAGTTCTTCGCTCCCTTCGAGTGTGCACAGAGTGGCGTGATAACATTCGTAGCACTGATCCAACGCTCCGAGACAAGATGTTTAAGGATCGGGTGGTGCCGCCTAAAGATGGGAGTGGAAGTGGAGAGAAAGCGAACGACAAGAAAGAAAACAAATATCATAACAAAGGAGCGGATGATGGTGACAAGAACCAAAACAGCGACAGCAACAAGAACTTGAGTAATACCACCGACAAAACGGAGGACAGTGTACCCACCGTCACAGTCAATCTACGTGCAGCTGCCGACCTGCTCTGCGTCCCCGGCTCCTTCCCAGAGGCCATGATCAGGTTCGAAGTCGATTTCAACACAGACTACGGTTGTGGTTTTGCCCCCGAGGATTGTAATCAACTATCCAACTTTCCCTCCGGCACGAACTTCCATCCAATTCTTCTGAATCTGGATGAGCGTTTGCCTCTCGTCGACAACGTGTTTCAGGCAACCAATGGAGTGCCACATAAAAACTTCGGTTTCGATTCATTCGATTCTCTGGATGACGTGTTAGAACGGATGCGACAACATTCGCGCAGCAGAAACGATGGCTCATGGAAAAACATGCTGTTGTGTGAGCCAGCTCAGCCGCGCATTAACGTAGTCTTCGATTATACGTATTACACCCGTGGGCGTCGCAAATATAAGCTTTACGGAGAGGGTGGATGCGGGGTTACAATGGTTCAGTTTGTGAGGGCTTTCCGCAAACAGCTGACACATATTGAGGAGGACATACGCGGATTTCCCGAGGAGATGTTGGTCTACTGCGGTGAATGCTGGGAGAAGAACCATGAGGATTGAGTATGAACAGGATAGCATGATTTGGGAGGTAAGAAGATAGAACGAGTCTAGGAAATGAAGAGACCTTTGTCAAACAATGAGGACATTAGCAATATATCTCGATGGTCATGTGGACTTATCTTAGGACACACATGTCGCTCGACGAATGTGACCTCCGGCGCAGTATAAAGTCTAGCACCCCAGTGTCGCCATCCCTCCTATCATCAATCTCGATCCATTCTCACAGGTTATCACACCACCGGAGATACCAAATAACATGCAGGGGAATATAAAGGACGGCACCGATAGATCCGATTCAGGCATACTGACTGGCAGCGCAGTCTCGGACGCCCCTCCGAAGATACTCCGGAATGAAGCTGGTTCAGATGACGAGAACGATGACAACGAGAACGAGGAGAAGGACGACAACATGGACGATGCGAGTAACGACAGCGATGATGATGACAACGATATTGCCACGATTACCGTGACTCTGAGAACGAGTATCGAGCTGAAAAGCCTCCCCGACTCTTTCCCGCGGACCGTGATAGTCCTGGAAGTCGACTTCAACGAAGCGTCCACAAACCCCGAGCCTATCTTCGAATTTACTCGCGATAACGCCTTCCACGACATTATTGAAGACATGGAGCGGTGCATGCACCACGTCGACGAGCGCTTGTTCGATCCAGTAAAGCTACGAAACTCCGGTAAGCCACGACCCTGGTTCAAATTCGAATCTTTCCAACATCTGCAAGATTTGTTGGAAGTCAGCAAGAACAATCCTTTACCTAAGGAGAGTGATTGGATGGACCAGCTTCTGTGTATGCCAGGTCTCCAACGCATCGACGTCGTGTTCGCATATAGGGCTTACCATAACACAGGCCGCACGTACAAGCTCTTTGCGGAAAACGACAGTGGCGTTACTGTAGGTCAATTTGTGGAGGCTTTTCGCGATCATCTGCAGCATGCGGAAGCAGACATACGCAAGTTTTCTGATGAGCTTACTCTCATCTGTAATAAGTGTTTCGACGACGCCATCAACGACGATTGAGTATACATGTTGAAACAACGAGAAAATATGACCAAGGCAGAATATAGTGCCAGAAAGAAAGATATCAGAAGGACCCAACACCAAAATGCTGCTTCTTGATAAGTTTCCTAATCCGATTGTGCATTGGATTCTATCGTGTGTAGTTGTGCCCATCGTGCAGATGAAAGGTGCCCAAGCCAAGCAACCAATGACGTCGCAAAGCCCCCGCAGACCCCCAGCGACGCGCGCACCAAACGATCAACCCTCTCCACGCGCAACCGTTACACAGGCTCACTCCTCCCACATTCCCTTTCAAATATCTACAAACCGCATAAAAGATGGCAGCAATATCCCCCGCCCCCGCCTCAACACCAACACCCACGCCCACACCCTCAACAGCCCCAACGCTCACGTCCCCCACCTTCGTCTTCCCACCACACTACTCCTTCCCGCCCTTCTTCACCCTCCAACCCGTCGCCAGCACACGCTCCTCCCAACTAGCCTCCTGGTCCACGCTCATCCAATCCTACTGCCGCCACAACCGCATCTTCACCCTCTCCCTCATCGACGCGCTCCCCACCCCGCTCTTCACAAACACCACGCTGCGACGCAGCCTCTCCCTCCGCGACGCAAAAGCCATCATAACCTACATGGCCTCCCCCGAAGGCGGCAACCGCGCCGAGTTCATCAACACGAGTTCCTCGAAGAAGGCGAAGGCGGGGGAAGAGGGTGAAGGGGGTAAGGCGTGGATATATTGGCGCAGGCCGGAGGAGTGGGCTGCGGCGTTGGAGGAGTGGGTTGAGAGGACGGGGCAGAAGGGGACGGTGTTGACGCTGTATGAGATTGTCGAGGGGGATGCGAGTCGGCGGGAGGAGTTTTTTGGTATGAATTTGGAGTTGTTGCAGAGGAGTTTGGGGGTTTGTGTTAAGAGGGGGAGGGCGCAGGTCTTTGGGTCGGGGGATGAGGGCGAGGGTGTCAAGTTCTTTTGAGAAGACGCTTTCATGTGGTCTTGGGGGCTTGATAAAAGTTATGGGATATAAGCAATGGGTTAGAGAGGAGGAGGAGGAACAGGCGTTGAATGATACCCAATCGCATTTCGGACCTGGAA